ATAATTATAGGTCTCACAAGCAGTGATTTCTTCTGTTAGGGAATATTTTTGGGAATTTTCTGCTGTGTGTTGCTATCTCACTGACTTTTGTGGAAAGGGAGATGTCTCAGAAGTGTCTCCAGGGAAACCATTCAAAAGTAGAGCAAGAAGAACACTGGCATCCTGCGGTTTCTAAAAGAGCTCACGACTTGACACCATACAGTTTATAGTTGTGTGTGTGCCGTTCTCAGCATAAACTTAGAGCAACAAGAGGAAACATTATTTTACATTGAAAACTTAACAAATTAGATATTAACTGTTTATACTTCCTTTCAAACATCAGCATTCCCCGAAAGAAAAAACTATTTTGAATAATTTGTGTTTATTTTTGGTCCATACATATGCACCTGTGTGAACATGTCTAATACACATAACATGTATTATGGATAATGATCCTGCCCAGTGAGACACCTTCAGGTAGTGGTGAGTGAGAACTTGCATTCTGCTGTTATCTTAAGTATCAAGAATGGTGCGGTGTAGTTTAAGGTGAAGCCCAAGCCCCAAAATGTAAGATGTCTCCCCATTTCAGTGAAGGGTCTGTACTACTGACTGGAACCTGCTCGAAGTTAGCCACTGCGTCCCCCAAATAACTAGCCCTGAGCAATGGGACATTTCTGATTTGTTTTGGATATAACAGTTGTACGTGAACATATCCTTCAAATGTTTGAATTATCCTACAAATAAACACAATGTTCCTTCATCTTTGACTCCCATGAGCCTCGATGGACATGGTCCATGTCTTTCCAATAAGCTAGTCTGGATATGCAGGGGTCTCAAGTGAGACTCAAGAGACTTGAGAAAAAAACTGCCCGAAATGGAGCATGAGTGAGATAGCTCACCAACTTTTGGGGTTATTGTAAGAATATGATGTCATCCGAGGGGTATTTAATGTTGGGTACATCATCACAATGTCAGCACTGCCAGCTCAGGGCTGGTGTATAGGGTTTCAGCAAATACTTGAGGGGGAATAACCCCTTGTGAGATATCTTAAAACAAAATACTTTTCTCTCTGGAAAATCAAAAAGCCTACTACTGTTGTGATTTTGGGCAGTACAAAATACATAGATTTGATTTGACATTGATTTGTCAATGTCAAAGGTAGTCATCTATTTTCTACTCAGAACTGAGGCTTTGAAAGAAAACTAAAGTTTATAATAATTATTTTGTTGAAGGTTGATCGAAAGATGCAGATTGCAAGATGCAACATGCAGCTTACACTCGGTCACCTGAGTGAAAAGTTTGGTTTATTATCACTGTTTTGAGATTTTAATTTATTGCACAATAATTCTAAGTAGGAAAAGGAAGTGTAGTGTGATGAACAAGTGATATGAATAAAACACAACAATGTAACAATGCCACATAGGGAACAAGACTACTGAAGTAATACACACAGAAATCTTGTGTCTGCGTCCATAAGTAATACCATAAACCATCTGAAGGAATGGGCGAGTCGGCAGATTATACAAAAATAGGATGGACTACTATGAGCTGCACGAACTTGAAAAGTGAACATTTCTAAAGAAGGAAAGAAAATGAATGGAAAGCAGGTGGTTTTGGGATTAGATGTAACACAACTAAGACTCAGTTCCCTGAATGTGTTTATATCAAGCCTTCTTTTTCTCTTCCAATTCTATTAGACTCTTCTGCCTCCATTCTCACAGCATGGTGCAGCAGCCCAAACACAAACACTGACTGATGCAACAAAACAGCAAGAGTTTTACTGTGACGCTCCAGCAAAGGTCCAGAAGCTGGTCGATATGAGAGCTCCTGCACACACTGTATCATAGAAAGAGCTGCGGAAGTCTCAGGTAACATCAAAATAAGTAGCTCAATCTTTCTACTCATCACAAGATAAGCAATTCAGTTTTCTTTATTTTTGTTCTATAATTCAAAATGACTAAGGCCCAACTATAAACCGGCAGTTGAAGCTTGAGCAAGATGATTATGAAGCTTGACTTGTTAAGCAACATAAACCTGATTTATACTAACACAACCTGTTTATGAAAAAAGGCTATAAGAAAGCTGCTTTCACTCACGGTTTCTAACAGAGCAGGCACTGGAGGGGGATTGTTTCACTTTCTTTGCAGTCGTTTAGAGTTCAATGTGTATTATTTGGAGCACATACTGTATTTTTGTGCTGTATTTCTGGAGTACAAATTCAATGGCAGAATTAAGACTTTGAAATTTATTTTGTTTTACTTGTCCAGGTTTTATTTATTATTTATTATGTTGGTAAAAATATGTGTAGGAGTGTGTATTGACTATTGACTGTAGATTCACACCCAGGCTGTGCAAGGGCTGTTTGACCAATAAGGAGAGTGGTGGGTGCTGGGCCAGATGACCTGAACCCAATCCAGATGGTTTTGGACCTGAACCCAATCCAGATGGTTTTGGGGTGAGCTGGACCACAGAGTGAAGGCGAAAGGGCCAACAAGTGCTAAGCATCTCTGGGAACTCCTTCAAGACTGTTGGAAGACCATTTCCTGAAGCTCATCAAGAGAATGCCAAGAGTGTGTGAAGCAGTGATCAGAGCAAAAAGGGCTACTTTGAAGAATCTAGAATATAAGACATATTTTCAGTTGTTTCAACTTCTTTAAGTGCGTACATAATTCCATAAGAGTTCATTCATAGTTTTGATGCCTTCAGTGTGAATCTACAATTTTCATTATCATGGAAATAAAAAAACTCTTAACGAGGGTGTGTCCAAACTTTTTCTATTTTCTATTTCTATTTTTATATATTCTTTACGTCTGAGCTGCAAAGAAGCCCACAGTAACTCTGAGACTCCACAAGCAGCAGGTTGAGCTCTGAGGACAGTGGCAGGAATCCTCCAGTGCTGCTGGCTTCAGTTCGCTCCAATATCCACACATTTGCCACTGATCCCCTTGAAGGTCGCATTACTCCTGCTTATTCTGTGCACAAAGAAAGGTTAACAATGGAGGAGTATGATCCCTCCTCCCCATCAGCACTTTTTATACATTTCATTCAAAGATCGGGTACATAACTTCTTTGAACCACTTTTGAAACCATATAATAAAATCCTTCTGTACAGGTGAAACTCGGAACATTAGAATATCGCTCAAGAATCCATTTACTTCTGTAATTCAACTTACAATGTGAAACTAATATAGTGTGATACAAGTGAGAAATGTCAAGCCTTTATTGGTAATTGTCTGACAGATTGGAAAAAACACATCTCAAAAGTTAGAATATGGGAATGACAAATAAATGAGGGGGTCTTGATCACGAGTGAGCGAAGGATAGAGTGAGATTGATAGATCGGTGCAGCGGGTGTAGTGATGCGGCCACTGTTTCAGACCGTTGTGAGGGAGGTGACCCAGGACGGGAGGGACGCTGGCTCTCAGCTGGGAACGCCTCAGATGAGCCGGAGGAAGTGTGTGTGAATAGGATGTCTCTACGACCCGGCAACAGGTAAAGCAAAAGAAAATGGATGGATGGAAAGTAACTTCTAATGTTTCCAAGTGGTGACAGTAGCTCAGTTGGTAGAGCATTGGCCTTTGACCCTGAAGGTCGTGAGTTTGAGCCGACCTCGGACCTTCTCCACAGACTCCCACTGATGTCTGCTGCTGTTGTGTCCTTGGCAAGACACTTAATCTCTGGGAACAACTGATGCCACAGTGGGCCGTCTGCGGCTGTAAAGTGCCAAACTGCTGTTGTGTCCTTAGCCAAGACACTGAATGGTTGGTGGTGGTCGGAGCTAGGGGCCGATGGCACATACTAGTTGCCTAGCTTCTGTCAGTGTGCCCCAGGGCAGCTGTGGCTACAGTAGTAGTTTATCACCACCGAGTATGGAGTGAACGCATGTAAAGCGTCTGAGTGTCCAAAAAAGTGCTATACAAAACTGATGCATTATTATTAAGTATCACCTGTATAGTTCCTCGCTCTCCTTGGCTCTATTACTAGTTTTCATCACATCAGTTTCTCATACAGAAAACTGAACTCCAATCAGCCAAAAGCGTCAAATAGTGACTCACAGGGCTTTCAGATATGTAAAGTATGTTTTCTAATATGACGACAGCACATTATGGACTGATTTATTCAAAAAATGTTATTCACAATACTCATTCACTCAATTTGAGCTTTAATCACTGTTTTTAGGTACAAGCAAAAGGATAAAAAATTTATGCAAATGATTGTTAACGCTGGTGACAACTCATTTACGTGTTTGAAAAATCAATCGTCTGGGCGGAAATATTATTCAATGCAGGCAGTATTCACGGACAAACGTCTCAATGCGTCAAATTCTCGTGGGGGAATAAAATATTAAACATAAAAACAGAAGCAAACTTTGACTCCATATTCAAACTATCAACATCAAGTTATTTTTTTTCTCCACACAAATGAACAACTGCTGCATTCCTCCCACAATAGGAGAGGTTATGTAAAGTCTTGAGAGTAGCAGCCCACTCACTGCAGCAGTGGGCAGTGGACGAATTAGAAATGCAACTTTTCTCCGAATGACCCTCACATTCAGCTCAGAGTCCAATTATACATAAAAAAAAAAACTTATGTTCACATATTGCCTACAATTGTTCACATAATATTAAAGTGTCATTTCAATAAAAACACATTAAAGTTGATAAAGATCTCGTTTATTCAATTTCAAGTTTTTTTTTACCAATAACCAACAAACAAATGTAATATTACTTACATTAATAATAATAATAATAATAAAAAAACAACTTTATATCCGCAAACACGTATGAAAGTGTATTGGTGCTTTGTATTCATGGAAAAACGGCTATGTCCAACGGTGAAATACGTCAGAAGCATTATTTTCCAGTGTATAATGGAATCACTTAGTTTCTATTCTACTCACAGAAGTAATAAAAAACACAAAGACAATCCGTTCACAATGGACCCAGTGGATAATGCTTTCTTTCCAGTTCATCGTGGGCTCCCTGGCTCCCATCCTTTGGTCTCAATCTTTTTTTCATTTTTCACTTAATAAGAAAGCTGACAGATGGGGAAAAGGGGGAAGAGAAAAAAAAAGTCAAGTTGATGTGAACAAACAAAGTCGGGATTATTGTTCCCCTTCAACAAAACAATCTCAGTGGAGTTCAAACACACACTGCCATCAGCGCTTGACGTTAATGAATAATATTTATAATTATGCAGCTATCAAAGCTTTCTGAAAGGTGGTCTTTACTGACACTTGGGAATTGAGTTGTTTTCCCAAGTGTCAGTTTTCTCGTTAAAACTGCAATCTTTAAGCCTTAAAGAATATTGAATCAGCAATTAATATGCCTACGTAATATTTTTGCACGAAATTAAATCAACCAAGAACAAATTGTAGGTTTGGATTAGGGCTGAGAAAACTAAATTTGATATTTGAGCATAATTTGAGTATAAACAAAAATAATGACATTAGAACAAATATTAGACAGCCATTAATATTCGAAAATTATTCTAGCACGATTTTTGGTGTGTATTGGCTTGCAAATGTTGATTTTTCCCTTCCGATTCACGGTGGTATTAGTTTGTCTGGTACGCGTTCCTAGAGTAACGTGATGTTATCGCGCCCAGTAGTTACTTGCTGAAACAATGTCTGAGCCAGAGACAACACCCAAAGTAGTAGAAAATATAAACTCCCATTATATTATAAATAAAGTGAAGACGGCATCTGATCTAAATAAAGAAATAGGGTTGACAGTCACTCGAAAAATAAGCATTGATGGACAGGTGGACAAAACAATATCCACAAGAACTTATGTTTTAAACCCAGGGAGATATTACATGTTCAAATATGTTCACATTTTTATATTAGTAAAACAATGACATTCAAATGTTTTTTGAGCTAAGTCCCAACCCTAGTTTAGATACCAGTATGTTGTATTAATCCAGGAAAATGCGTATACTACTACTAAATACCGCCCCAACCTTTTAAAAACAAGAAAAACAAGTGCTTTCCTGGAGGCAGGTAGTAGTATTGTGCTATGGGTAAATTAGATCCAGCCCCTTGAGTAAAGTAACGTTCTGTATTGCCCCTTCTGTTGTACATTAAATCTTCTTTATGTGGTGCTGACCTTTCGCTAAAAATGATCTCGAATCGCTGCTGCCTAAACCTTGGCTTACAGTCCAAACTTATTTTTGTACGAGATTACCGACAGACATCTGCCTCAGCAAGACGCAAGAAATTGTCAAAATCTGAAATGTGTACCGAGAGTGGGTTTGTTTAGTGTTTATTTGATTCGACTCCCGAGAAGCAGAAACTTGGCTTTGCTGCGTCTGGCTTTTTGGAAGGGGACAGTTACCAATTGAGGAGCTGTCTTAAGATGAAAGCAAAAACGGGACGGGATGCTGCGCTGACCTCACCCTTCGCTCCGTGTCTGCAATAACTCTGCAATGACTTTCTGTCAACTCCAGCGATTTTGAGATTCTTTTCAGGCTTTCACATTTATCGAGTTTGAATAGCGTCGACTAAGCAGCAACAAAGCTGGAGAGGACACCTGCTGGTTGCTATGGTTACCTGTAAGGATATCCGTGGTACTTGGACCTGAAAATGGAGAGCAGGAAGCTGAAGAAAAACACCACCAGGCCAAGGCCCACCAGGCAGATGACTGAAAGAATAACAGAACAAAGTGTTATGGTCAGGAAGATAACGCACTACTTTATCCGACCGGTAAGTACAGTTGGGCTTGAAAGTTCACACACGCAAGCGCAAACATTTTTACACCTTGCTTCTGATGAATAACAAACATCTTCTCAACTAGTCGCTACACAACTACACAAATAACCAGGATAAGAAGTCTCCATCTCCTAGTTCTCCTTTAAAATCTACGAAGGATTGATAAGATGGAGCTTTATTCGTCCCTCAGTGGGTACATTTAAATGTCATAGTTGCGTACATTTCAGCAGAATAGAGGGAGAAACAGAGCACACAGGAAGTCACTCACTGACTTTGTCACTCACAAACAGGATCTATAATTATTTCCTCACTTTTCTTATCATGAGTGAGGCCCCACAAGGAGAGATCTTACATGGAGCCCCAGTCTGAAGTAGATTAGCAGTCATGTTTAGCCTCTTCCATTTTCTAACAATTGCTGCAACAGTTAATCTATTCTCACCAAGCTGCTTACCAAGTGTCCCATAGCCTTTTCCAGCTTTGTGGAGATCTACAATTTTGTCTCTGGTCTTATGACAGCTCTTTGGTCTTGCCCATGGTGGCAGCTGGACCACAAGTCCACAAGTAATGGCGGAATTTTTAAAAGTGGACGGTCAGCTCTTTTAGAGTCATAGTTCTGGCTGAGTTTCATGTGTGCAAATACGTAAGCCTTCTCAAATGCTAAACATTAAGGTTACTAGTTTGGTCTGCTTTTGCATTTACTAAATAACTGAGAAAATCCTCATAACAAATCCATAAAAAGCAAAGTTTTTCAGAGATCTCAAATAATAAGGATAAAATCAGTTGATTTTTGTGCGAGCGTTCATTTGCATTTTTCAACACCAAGTTCCTGAGCGGGAGCGTGACTGAGTAAAATTGATTTTTGCATTTTTTTACCGAGTAAAGATTATTGCTCTATAATTGCATTATTGCTCTTTGTAGGAAAATGCTACGGCAGAATTTCAAAAGGTTGGTTAGTAGATATATCAAACAAATTTATATTTTTTACCCAAATCACAAGACATGATACCCTTTGTTACACTCAAAACCACCAAAGATAAAACGTATTTCTTTGACTATAGAAGGATTATTTGGCTGAAGGCCTGTGTAAAACCTTTTCATGTAGATTATAAAGTCTGATGCAACACATCGTTTGATCCCACTTCAAACTAGGAAAGTTTGAAGAGCACTAGACTCGAGAAGTTCCCTTTTTGTTGATGCAATACACAACATGAATACGATGCACCTTTATTTCCTTGAAGACTAAACTGTCCCGTTTTCTCATTATCTTTCTTGCAACATTTGCAAGCAGTGTTTGCGGCCATTATCAACTTATTTCCTCTGTGGCTAAAATGACAAATACATAGACACAATCTTTTATCAGATGAAAGTGTGTTGGCTAATCCTTGTGAAGCCCTGTGTTAAATTAAATAGTCACCTCCCACTGATATTGTTAATCAGGGATTAGGATGAGGACTTCTCCTGGAGTGCCTCAAGACTGCAGCATCAGAACTCAAGAATTGTCTTTAAGTCTGTATAGGTTTAGAGGTCATTCATTCAAGTACTGCTTCATGTGACGACGCATAAGAATCCTAAGCTTGGCAAGAAATGTTGAGAGATGCGTTGCACATCGCCAGTGTGATTAGTGCAAAATTAAATCAGACACATTAGTTTTGCGAAAATGAGGCAGATTGACAAAGTCAGAGTCTAGTGCTGAACACTTTTGAAGAGTCCCATATGGCAGACGGGAGGAATAAACCCCCGAGCAGCACTGAACTCAAAAGTGCATGTATGTGAAAGTACTGAAAGCATTGGACCATGTAACGTATAGTGTCGAAAACTGTTTTAACACAGATTGTCAGTACTCCAGCAAGTATTTATCAACAAGTGTGCCACGGCCAGTTCGTGTGCCTTGAGACTTTGATGTGCCTTTGGAAATGATCCAATATCACCCAAATAGTAAAAATAGGAGGAGGAGAGAAACTGCGCATGTGCAAGATGGCGGACGCATTTGTTTGGAGCCTTTTTTGAACTGCACACTTTTTGGATTTATTTTTTAAACTAAGCTTTTATTACTGTTTTTATTCGTAACAACTGATGGATTAAGCGGATTTTAACAGGTTGTGCCACAACAGGATTACTGTCACTTTTAACTGGACTGTATATCAGCCTTTTAACAGTTACCGCGGTAACCAGCCTGCCCACATACGCCACCATGGACACCGCTGCTCCCCCCGAGAACTCATACAGACAAATCTACAAATCACAACTTGCTTCAATTCTTCCATCCAAACCAGTAAACGCAATGACCCCCGAGGAACTTCAACGCAGTGTTACACAACTATCCACTGAACTCATACATAAAGAGAAACTTCTGGAACATTTCATGGACATCTCATTCAAGCAGTCACAGCAAATATCCCTCTCCGTACTTAGACATTCACAGCTCGCTACCACACTCCACGACACTGCTCTTTGGGATCCCATCACCTGTCCTCACCCCTCATCATGCTCTACCCCGGTCCTCACCTCACGTTCCCCGGTTGCGGCTGTTCCTCCTGTCCCACCCGGTGCTCGTCCCTCCTCTACGGTCCCGGAGCCTGCTGCCCATACCCAGAGCGGCGCGGAGCAGAAGCCTGGAGACCACAGAACGTCCACAGTGTCCTCACGTCGCAGGTTGGTGGAGGAGGCTGTGCGCAGACGCTCGGGGAGCTTCCCACGCTCTAAAACAGCGCGGGGCTCCCCGGGTGTCACGCAGGACCAACTGCGGGAAGCCCCGGGGGGATCTCTGTGCCCTAACGTGGCGCAGGATACCTCCGGGAGCGCTGTCCCTGCTGTGGGAGGGTTCGTGTGCTCTGACGCGGAGGGAATCCCCAGAGGCGCTGCACAGAGCAGGTCCTATGCTGAGGTGGCCGCGGGGGGGTCTCTGCGCTACATCACGGCGCAGAGTCCTCCCGTGGACGCTGCCTCGCCCGCGGGGGGGTGTCTGCGCTCCATTACGGCGCGGACTCTTCCCGTGGACGCTGCCTCACTCGCGGGGGGGTCTCTGCGCTGTTGCACGGCGAGGAGTTCCCCCGCAGATGCCACCTCGCCTCCTGGTGGATCCCCCCGCCCGGTGCGCGGCCCTCCCACATTCGCCCACACTACCACCACCACCAACCCGGCCACAGTGGAGTCAGTTCGGTCTCCGGATCCTCCACCCTGCTCCACAGCCGCTCGTGGCGGCTCCGCTCCGGGCACCCCCCAAGGCTCTCCTGTCCCCTGCTCTCCACCAGGTCCCACCCCAGTCACACCCTCCCCTCCGCGGCCTCTGTTTGCACCAACCACGCTCCTGGTGGGGGATTCTATTATCAGACACTGCAAGTTTTTTAATGCCATCACACACTGTTTTTCTGGAGCCACAGTCCCCACCATCCTCATTAAACTACCCTCACTTATTCAGACAGCACCCTCCACAATAACCCGGATCATAATTCATGTCGGCACAAATGACGCTTCACTCCGCCAATCCGAGACCACAAAACGCCATTTTAAGGATCTTTTTAACCTTTTATCAAACTCAGGGAAAACTGTTTTTATCTCCGGTCCTCTGCCCACTATGAACCGCGGCAGGGAGCGTTTTAGCAGGATTTTATCACTCAACACCTGGCTCAATCAAACATCACTCCATCACAACTTTGGTTTTATAGACAATTTTAATCTGTTCTGGAACCGCTACCCCTTCTTCACACCCGACGGACTTCACATCAACCCACTTGGCAACCGGTACCTGATCTCCAACATCACCCACGCAGTCCAATCCCATCCTACATACCTCTGACAACCCACCCCCCACATCCCACATCCCTCCTGCCCGTCTATGCCCCAGCATCAACCCCTGCTCTCTTCCCCAGCACAAAATTACAGTTTTGTCCAGACCCCGCCCCTACAGACCGTCCATACCCAGGAAACCGTCCTTCACCAACCTCATCACTGTTTCCCCCTGCCCTCTCTCATCCTCTGCTCCCCCCACTTCGAACTATGGACTCCCCATCAACAATAACAACCCATCTACCATCAGGTTTGCCCTTTTAAATGTACGCTCCCTTTTAAATAAGACTTTTACTGTTAATGATTTGATTTTAGAACACGAGCTGGATGGTATGTTTTTAACTGAGACCTGGCTGGGTCCGGATGCTCCGGCTGTTCTACAGAGGCCTCCCCCCCCAATTTTAACTTTGCTTTTAAAACAAGAGAAGGAAAGAGAGGTGGCGGCACAGCCTCAATATGCAGTAACACCCTGGCCACCAAACCTATTGTTTTTAACCAATACTCAAGTTTTGAGTATCACTCTCTTGTTTTTAGCAACCCCAAAATTTTAACAGTAATTATTTATAGGCCACCTAAAAAGTGCAGCCTTTTTATTATTGAATTCTCAGCGTTTTTATCACAGTTACACAATTCTTACAATATGATAATTTTAACCGGTGATTTTAACATACACATTGACAATCCCTCTGACAATTTTACCCTAGATTTCTTAGATGTTCTTAATTACATGGATTTTACCCAACACGTCAGACAGCCAACACACAACAGGGGACGCACCCTCGACCTGGTCATTACCTATGGCCTGACTGCGGATGTGTCCTCTGTTGTCGACTTGGCTGTCTCGGACCACTACTGTGTGTTTTTTAACATCACTGGTTTTATACAGCGTGAGACCTCTGTGAGAACCGTGAGGAAGCGACATCTAACCCCTGAAGTGGCTGCAAATTTTATCGACATCCTAAACAACACTCCCCACTTGGTTTTACCTGCCCCCTGTGATTTTATAGCAAATGATTTTAACAGTAGACTTAGTTCTGCGTTGGATCAGGTGGCTCCTTTAAAAACAAAAATCATAAAAACAAAATCTGCACCCCCATGGAGAAATGAAGAAGTACGCAAAATGAAACAAGAGTGCAGGGTGGCAGAACGAAGATGGAGGAAAAATAAAACAACAATCAACTACGAAATATATAAAAACAATCAAAAAGCATACAATTACACAATTAGAAATCATAAGAACAAATACTTTGCAAATCTAATCAGCCAGAACAAAAATAATCCAAAAATCCTTTTTTCAACCATCGACACCATTTTAAACCCTGATTTTAGCATGTCTCTTTTAACCCCCACAGACTCCCTCTGTGAGGATTTTGCAGTCCACTTCACGGGGAAGATAAATACAATCAGATGTAACATTTTATCCAACCGCACTACTGTTTTCAACACATCTGATTGTTTGTCTTCGCCAGAGGAAACACTGGACAGTTTTGTCCTGGTTGATGCTGAGAGGCTTGATAAAGTTTTCTCCTCAGTGAGGCCCACCACATGTCTTTTAGATCCAGTCCCCACTCCATTTTTTAAGTCATTTTATGAATCTTTTAGAGAGGAGCTTTTAAACCTGATGAATTGCTCTCTTCAGACTGGGGTCTTTCCTGCAGCCTTCAAAGCGGCTGTGGTGAGACCCCTTCTGAAGAAGAGCAATTTAGATTTTAATGATTTTAACAACTACAGACCGGTATCCAACTTACCATTTTTAAGCAAAATTTTAGAAAAACTTGTTTTTTACCCAGCTCAATGCCTTTTTAGATCAGCAGCAAATTTTAGAGAAATTTCAATCAGGTTTTAGGGTGAACCACAGCACAGAGACTGCTCTTTTAAAGATTTTAAACGATCTTAGACTAAGTTATGATTTCAAAAAGGTGACTGTGTTGGTTCTACTGGATCTTAGCGCTGCCTTTGATACAGTAGACCACACAATTCTTTTATCACGCCTACAACACCTCGGCCTCTCTGGTGCTGTCCACAAATGGTTCACTTCTTATTTAACAGACAGATCCTTCATGGTAAGTTTGGATACCTGCTCCTCTCAGGTCCATAAAATCACATGTGGTGTGCCCCAGGGTTCCATTTTAGGTCCAGTCCTTTTTAACCTGTACATGCTCCCTCTTGGCGGTGTCGTCAGGAGACATGGAATTAACTTCCACAGTTATGCAGATGATACTCAGCTGTACATCTCCATGTCTCCTGATGACACCAGGCCAATGGATGCTCTTTTTAACTGCATTTTAGACCTGAAATCCTGGATGGCAGAAAACTTTCTCCAGCTTAACCAGGACAAAACTGAGGTTTTAGTCATCGGTCCTGAGGCCCAGAGAGAGAAACTTTTATCAAAACTCCAATCACACTCTTTTAATCCATCATCACAAGTGGAAAATCTGGGCGTAATCTTTGACTCTGAGCTGACTTTTATTCCTCACATCAAGAGTATCACAAAAATAGGTTTTTATCATCTAAAGAACATCGCCAGAGTCCGCCCCATTCTCTCTCGGGGCAACACGGAGACGCTGATGCATGCTTTTATCACCAGTCGCATTGACTATTGTAATGCCCTGCTCTCTGGTCTTCCCAAAAAGAACATTGCAAGTCTTCAATTACTCCAAAACTCGGCCGCACGTGTCCTGACTAAGACCAGGGGGCGGGACCACATTACACCGGTTTTAAAATCGCTGCATTGGCTCCCCGTGTGTTTCAGAATCAATTTTAAGGTTCTTTTAATGGTTTTTAAATGTCTTAATGGTCTTGGGCCTTCTTATCTTTCAGATTTGCTTTTATCCTATGAACCTTCCCGGCCCCTGCGCTCCTCCGGCAGCAGACTCCTAACCATCCCCAAAGTCAGGACACACACTCACGGCGAGGCATCTTTCCAGCACTACGGCCCCCGTCTCTGGAACAGTCTGCCGGAGGAGCTCAGGGCCGCAGAGAACGTTCATATTTTTAAAAGTAGGCTCAAGACGCACCTTTTTAGAGTAGCTTTTGATTAGTTTTTATTATTCCATTCTATTTATCTTTTATTATTTATTATATTGCTATTGCTATTATTCATGTATTGTGTGTTCCTCTTAGTCTCACATTTTAGTGTTTTACTTATTGTATTGTTTTTAGTGTACCCAGTGTTTCCTCTGGAGGAGCCCTCTGCACCGGGAGCAGTGGTCGGTGTGGCTGCGGGGGTCGGACTCTTGGGCCTGGTGGGGGCCTGGGGCCTCGGTTTCATGTCTCCTCTGGGTCCTGTGTCGTCCCCTGTGGCTACGGGCGGCTCTCTGCTCCTGGTGCAGACGGCTCCTTGGATGACGCTTTTTCAGCTGGTTGCATCTGAACCCTGCCAAGTCTCTCATCATGTTTTTATTGTTTTACTGGTGTGTGTGTGTGTGTGTGTGTGTGTATGAGTGTTCATGAGCGCGTGTGTGTGTGTTTGTCTGTGGTTTGGGGGGGGTCTGTTGGGTGGTCTGGGGGAGGGGTCTTGGGCCGGCGGGATTGTTTTTAACCAATCTGTAAAGCACTTTGTGTTGCATCTTATGTATGAAAAGCGCTTTATAAATAAAATTTGATTGATTGATTGAAATAAATAAAAAAACATGCATCCCTTGTGCATGTTTGGTTACTCAAAACACTTTGCATTGTTAATTGAGGTTGTGAAGTTTCTTTTTGGTAAAATGTTCAGATGGTGGTCTGCCATACAATATTTTTCAATGGAAAAGGTGTGCGACGGCTCAAAGGGAACACTGCTCTAACTACATACATCTAACACTCTTCGATAATCAAGATTTGAGTGCTTTTATTTTATTTTAGAAAAATGCTTAATCTAAGCACAGACAATACGATTACCAGCTATACAATGAATCAAACTTTAAAAGTGTGTAATACTTTCTCCAATGACTGCACAAAAATATATACACGCTTTTTTGTGAAAAGTAATCCTTTGGTTACCTACTTATTAAAGATTGATCAGAGGTCTTATGACTAATTCAACTTGCCTTTCTGACAAATCGAATGCATGCATCATTTATGTGGCTTTGACTTGATTGAAAGTTGCACCCATTAGGCCTTTATTCTCCAGGGAGTGTCCCTCGTTGGCCCCGGTCCCCCCTGGTACACCTTCACGTTTGAGTGAGTGAGAGCGCCATCATTAAGTGTAGTAGAATCTATTTCCCACTGCACATCAATTATGACTGACTGCTGTCTTAGTATGCATCTAGGGATAATCAGTGCTGAACTCAGACGTGTGCTGGGCATGCTAATATGCAAAGAGATTTATGACCTTGGCCAGAAGACATATTATTTAAGCAAAATGATTTTCCCGCAATGACAAAGGTGGTAATCCCTCTTTTTACTGGGAAACTTGGCACTGGCAAAATCATGATATATTGGCATGGCAAAATATGTATACATTCTCCAAGCATGGGAAGCCAATAAACATATTAACTTAATCCTTAGTAATTAGGGAGACAAATATGGATAGATATGATGATGCTAAATGGTTCTTCACGGTAATTCCTTTGATTAGAAGCAGCCTCCCCGAGACATTAACTGACTCAATCTCTGGATACAATTACCCACAGTTCATTGTCTTCATGGTTTGTAATGAGAAAATACTATTTTTTCTGAACGTTGTCCAATTATAGTATACACTATAGCGCTTATTGCTTGCATGAATTTGCCAAAGATACAGAAATATTGACTTAGCGATGATTTGATAATCTCATCTGGCAAAGAATATCCATCCAGGGTAGACCATGTTTGGATAAAGCGGAAGAAAATAGATGGATGGATCAAGCTGAAATTATAATTATTTTAGGTGTTTTTGTATTTGTCTTTGTAGTGTCTTTAAAATTGACCTTGAGTCTGTAAATGTAAATAAGAATAATTATTTTTATTATTAGAGAGGATGGTATATATTCTTGTCTCTTAATTTGATGACAATGTATTCACTGAAGTTGTCATCATACACCATCTTAAACCCTTGCTTTACTCTCCTCACCCCTCTCGCAGCTCCTGCATATGCAGTGACTACGTCCATGTGTTTGTGAAGTAATTCTTCACGTCAAGAAACTGATTTTGTGGAAGCAAATGGCAAACGAAGCAGAAGATCATTTTCTGTAGCTGGCCTCAGCAGTACGGAGGTGGAGCAGGGGATTTAACATGCAGCGATTACACTATAGTTCAATTCTAATCCTCTAATACGGACACACGACTACACCCCTGGGTCATGGTTTGTTTCTACCAGTGTGGGCCGCTGGACAGAGCCGTTGGGAATAGAAAGATTCGTTAAGTAGATGTCAGGAGTAAAACACACACAAATAATTCACATAGTAAGTCTCATATACATGGCATGTTTGTATGGCAGAAAGGGAGGTAATAAATAATGTAAACATCCCAAATATGGCTAAAACTAGAGCCACCATTTCCTTTCTCAATCACACTCGTCCAGTGACTCAACCCAAACAATAATCACTACTTGTACAATCAACACATGTACAGCAAATGCCAATTATGCCGCAGCAGGGCATTTCCAGTGCTGATTTAAAAAGAGAAAAACTCTGACAGAGCAGTCTCAATCATCATCAGGTTCATTTGTGTGTGTGCAAAATATAACCGCATTTTCGTGACGTTTTCCAGAAAGAAATGCTTGGCAACATATTTTGAATGGGAACGTTTTATAAGTGTGCAAAATGTGTCAAAACAAAAACACTTACTTCTTCTCTTGCCAACGTCTCCTTTGGAAGTTGCCGCCTCGTTCAGTAACACCATGCCCATAGTGATGGCAGCGTCTGGAGTACGGCAGGTAAGAAAAAGTCGACCGGTGAAAGTAGACGGCACAAATCAAAAGTATATTTCAACAGTTTAGTACTACAACGGTACAAAGCCTATGAAACCACAGAGAGAACCCTCAAATATGCTGGTGAATTCAGCAATGCACTCTATATAATAAAATATATAATCGTTCATACAAAAGAGTAGCAATAACTTCACAATCTCATTCACCGCCGTTTTCGTAGCAAGGTCAAAGAACCAACCTTCAACTCAAAACTAATAAAAGTCTAGAATTCTGTTTCAATTCAAATAAATGTGGAGAGGTGAACCTTTAACCTCGGAGGAATACATCAGAACACATGATTTATTCAGTGGCATTTTTAAACACCCGAGCGAGTGCGCAGTCAAGTCAACCCGGAAAATATTATGCACCAAAAGAGAACGCTAGAATGAGTACAGAGAATGCAATATATGGATGGATGGAACTGCCATGTTTAATTACATGGAGCACAAGGAGCACACAGAGACATGCATTATGAGAATTATTATGTCGCTATATTATATGGATCAAGACAAGAAATCCTTTATTTTGTCCCACATGCACTGTTACAGATAATGTTTGACCCCTAGCTTAATGAATACAATAGAGAAGTGCTCATAGAGTTTTGCACCAACTCACTTTGGTCCACAATACATACTTACAGTAAGATCTAGCTCTAGCTTAGTAAAAGTTTGTGTCACATTGATCTATTTGGGTTTTTAAAAAAACCATGGTTTGGAGAATTCTTCAACCCTGGTGTTTGTATTGTGATTGTCTTTGTAAATACAGCTGTGAGCCTTAACAGCTTACCAATCAGGTTCTTTGTGTCCCTGGATTTTGGCTTTAGCAAGCGACTAGGACCGGCGCTGCTCCTGATTGACGCTTTGTAATGTGAATAATGCTACAAACAACATTTTCGGTGGATTGGCTCCACACTTCGGCTCAAATAGCCAGTGGAAGCTAGCTCTAAACGGCCTATTGCTCCTTAAAGAGCGACTAAACGCCAAATCAACTTTTTTCAACTCATAAACTCCATAAATATGTCTATTGTAGTGCTCTCTACATATCCTGGTAATTTTTTTGACATTTTAGTTCAAATTAGATAAAATATCACTTTTGAGCCAAAAAACGTTTGTGTGGCGCCCTCTCAACCTTTTTGGTGGTACTACATTTTAATTTGGTTCTGGCCTCTCCATTGACTCTGAAGTTCTCTATGACATCAGTTGTTTTGTGTGACGTCAGTCTGTCAGAGCCAGTGATATGAACCCATTCAACTCTCACACACGCCCCAGCTGCAGTTTGGAGTATTCTGGCGCCATCTAGTGGATTAAAATTAAATTACATGAGTGATTCTGAGATTATTGAGTGTGATTAGGTTCAGGTGTGTAGCTTTACAATTATCTTAGTGTGTAAACAAGGGTGGAATGAGATTCTCGGGTCTGTAAACTATTGCTTTAAGCAGCAATGACAACTGTCTGTTTTTTTTGTGTGTGTGACAAGTGAGCTGTCAATCACAGCCCAGACCACGCCCAACTCTTAGCCCCCCTTCTTGTTCCTCGGTCCTCCAGGCAACGCCCTTTTAAGAGAACATTTTCAAATCTTCATGTGGGCGGACTAAGGCTGGGCACAGGTGTTTAGTCGCTCTTTAAGGCTAACATCAGCATTTGGACCGTCCGTTTGAAATATTTTGGAAAGACTGTTGAGACCATTGACTGTAATTTTTAACGGACGTAGTGATGCTGTTTTTAAGAGGAAACAAGGTGCCATGAGAATTAATTGGATAATTAGGTTTCCGGGTATACGCCACCACTGGCAAGGAGCGAGAACACAAGCATGTTAGCACACATGCTCACGGACCCTTTTGGGCCGGGGGCCGCCCCCACTGGTTGAGGGTTAACCCTAACCCTAACCCCACGCGGTTGAAAATAAGATCCATTTATGCAATTTCATGCAGAGAAAGCACAGGCACCAACAAATGCCAACTTTAAAGCTTTTTCCCCTAATCCTAAAGCTTGTGTATTCGTCCCGCGTGCATATACTGTATGAGGTGAATTAAACAAGGTTAGATCCACAGGGAGGTCTGCGCCGCTGGTCATCGTAACATGTGTTTACACCTCATGCAGAGACAACAAGGGCAGGGGCGTTTCAGCAGGTGTTGGTTTCATTTAGATGTAATCAGATGGGCATAAAAAAAAAAAAAAAAACACAATATTGCCATGCAGCAGGTGCAACCTTGGACCCACTATTTCCCGTGGGTGCACACAACACAACAGCTAAGAATGAACGGCATCATTTCCTGAGCGCACACAAAAGCCAAAGCAGCAAACAAACCGCTCTGGTGCCAGTGTACAAGGGAGAAAGTGAGAATGTCTATCGTGCTGTCAGCTTGTTTGGTCTGGTCAACACATTCCCCACGGAGCGAGCAGTGAGATGACCCGGCTTTCATGTTAGGCAGCAAGAAGCTAAGTGCACCGAGCGACAAATGCATAACGAGAAAACCTTGTGAGGCTATTTTTACATATGATAATTATTGAAATATTTATAATAGAAAAAACTCCAAGATAACAATCAGATTGGCAATACAAGTTCTAATGGGCATAAGTCCTAAATTTTCTTTCCTTTATGTTGTTAAACACTAAATACAGAAAATTCTGGCTTCTCACAAATCTTTCCTTGCATTTTTCTTACAAAATGATCATGATTATAATACATCATGATATATGATTATGATCAATAATTACCTAACAATCATTAATCCGTTTTAAGACTCTGGAAGTCCTCAGCTAAACTGAACTCTGACTGTAGTTAAACTTCTTTATGAAGTAAGTTTACCATGACAGACCCATGTGAGTAACAGAAGTGGGATGTTCATTGGTGAAAGGATACTCAGAAGAAGGATGATGTGCGACTCTGCTACGAACTGGGCTTGACTGCTCCCGTGAATGTAACTCTGCAAATAAGAGAAAGAGACAAATGTTAGTGCAACACAGCTGGATCCAATTAAAAACAGGCCAAACAACATTAGAATCATATTAGCGGCAAAGAGCAGAAACAAGTGAAACAAACTGTAGTGCTGCGTGGGGAGTATTACAAATACAGAAGACTGAGAAGTAGTGTAGATGTCCTTGTTTTGGAAGTGAAGGGGGAAAAATGGACTACTGTATAATTAGTAAACTATTTAAGACAAACTCACAAAAAAGGGATTGAATGCCATTATCCATTTTATATTTGAAGAGTCTTTACCGAGTGATTGTCCACTCCAACAACCATGAATATCAAAAATACTATTAAAATATGCTCTGCTGGAATACATTTTTGACAAGAAACAATAGGCAAGAGTGAAGAACACGAGCGTTGCAAATTACTCAGGTGAGTGTGCCCATTGTGAGTCATAAAGCCTTCTTCCAGTCGCTGCGTGGGCGAATACAGAGGTGCAACTTTCAGAGTGGGCAGAGAGGTCATAGACACCAGACAAAAACACTTACTCAAACGAGAGCTTGTTACATTGTTCAGGCCCCTTGCAGCTAATGTGCCCAGATATAGACCATTTTAGGCCTCTGCAGAAGCAACTCCTCACAATCGTCCGTATGACTGAACGTGGCCTTTCCTCGAAAATGTAGTGTGTGCAGGAGTCTAATAATGAATCTAATTTGGAAAGAGTCATGGAGGAAACATGATTGTACATGATCTCTTTCTAGACTCTACAGCGGTCTGCTCCAATCTTCAGAATATGAATATTTCATCCAAATACGTTGCACAAGTTAATCACACAAGGATTATATGCACTAAGATAAAACATGATTATTTAACACAACCCATCATTGTTAGAACTACAGTAAACAAAAATTGATGTGGCCCTCTGCCTTGTGAACAAGTGGCTATTGACGTACATTCAGTGTCATCCATCAAACTTCAGCCACATCATATTAGCATTGCTATATCTTGTTGTAAAGCCCAGAAATTTTAGTCCCATATATACAATTTTGTGACCCAATCAAAAGACACATTTCAGTATAATGTAACTGAGGTGTGAGTCAATACGTTTTATGAGCCAACATTGGTCGGAATCCAGTCAAAACGGTTTTATAATCCAATAGATTGAATGTTGCCGGCCCCTGGTAAACTAAAATGTTTGGATACCCCTGATGTAGATTTAGTGTTTTTTTCTGCAATCATCATTTAAGACATTCTCATCACTTCCAAACCAAAAGGATGGAAACATCTTCTCAGAACCAAACAAATAAACTGTCACTTTTCTTTTGAACCTAGAACCACTATGAATTTAAGAAGTCATGTAATCATACGACCTTAAAGAAACTTTAGATTTCCTGTCAAACCTCATTTACATGCATCAAAGGGACAGACACACAAAGTTTGCGGAAATAAGATTCTTGCATTGTGCATCATAGTGGCTCTTCACATTATTAGTGTCCAGGTCCACGCAGCAGCTCTTTCCACTTGACTGCGTGTCTCTTCATTTCTTCTTCAATCACACGGGAATAAGGATGGGGAGATGAATAGAGAATGACAGAGAGGGAGGAGTAAAGGGTGGACAGCTCTTTCTTGCTTCAGTGGCGACAAAAAGAAGAGTTTTACACTTGAAAGAGTACAACAGATGAAATGGATGCTTTTGTCTTCACAACAAACCTGCTGTTTAGAAATAGCAAGGTCCAATTCAGTCCTTATCAGCAGTGTGCCAGGAAACCATTCTTAATAGCATAATTAATAGTATAATATAAACAGACTTCCAGTGGCATGGCTGGTGTTTTTGGTTGTCAACTCTTTGCTATAGGGATCAAACTGTGTTCCTTTTTCTTTTACAGCTTGCTCCTGTTAAAGCAAAACAAATCCACTTTGTTAGCGAGGCCTTCATTAAGTCTAAATATATACTGGGGCAAAAAGTCACATCTATATGAAAATGTTTACAGTATTCAAGCCCAGACAAATTGCCAAAAGAACACTTTCGATAAAACATGGCACTCTTGCAGTCTCGCAGTATTGCTTGTCACAATGCTAAACACAAGATGATCAGTGGAAAGAAAGTCGCAGTCAGAGTAGTGAGTGGGGAGGAAAAAAATCTCAATCCGAGGCTGGGCACTTCCAATTAATCTGATGGATTAGAATGCAGGTTTCTATTCATTAGCGTGTGTAAAAGCAGGTGTGCACAGACTAAGTGTGTTTGTGGAATAGTTTTTTTCAAGATTGAGTATCTATAGAAGAAAGTATGTTCATTAGACACTTGTGCACAGTGGTGGTCCACAGCCGATGTCCGATGGATAAGTACTACCCTCTCGATTGATAAATGCAGTTTGGGATGTGCATGGTACAATTACACAATGGGTTTCTCAAGTCCATACATGCTCATGAATCTGACTTATATGGTTTATTTTTCAGCTAATACTTCAGGTGATAGAGAAATGCTATGTCATAAACGCTTTCAGCATTTTCAGTGATCTGAGAGCTCACAAATCTTATGTGAGGTCTAGAATATTTAGATGTTAATGTCAAATACCAAGAATTCACACCATAATATACCAGACACCGGTGTAGTACCAACATGGTCGTGACTTTTGTATTATATCAAAACGAGATCAGGCTTCAACAAGCAGGTGTGGAAGTTGTAGAGTTTAAGCAAGCCCTGGTTTCATTAAGTATTGACCTTATAGTGCCTGGGTTATTAGTGCATAAAGCAGCCAATTTGTCAGGCTTCAGTGCCCATCAGACGTCTGCACCAAGAGGCACACATGCAGCACTGAGAATATGTAAATATTTACAGCCAGAATGCCCAGGGCTTTACTATAAAGTGTGAGGGATGTGAACATGTAACACGGTAACTGGCAATCAATTACGTGTCTATGCGTCATAACATTATGCTCCATAAAAGAAAAACTAATGCGACTGTCACACTCATACAATAACAAAGACTTGCAGACTTTGATTTTAACCTTCAGTGACATCTGTAAGAATTATTTTGTGTCTAAAACTATAACTCCAGTTCAGGAAATATACAATTATTCATTTGTATTGTTAGCGGCATAATTTAGTTCATGAAATTGTCTAAATAATCTATAATTTCTATAATTTAAGTTCTATAATTTAAAATCCCCTTTTTTTGTTTAAACTTCCTGGTATGTTATTCATTATTTACCAATTATCATAAAATATTAAAATGCATGTCTTTCCCACAATGGGGAAATTTCAGTTTGATGCACACACATACATATACACATCAAGGCAAGCAGCGAACATCACTTCTGCGCTCCTTGGAGGCAAAGTGGGTTAAGTGTATTGCCCAAGGACACAACGACAGCAGCCATCAGTGGAAGTCTGTGGAGAAGGTCTCGTGGTGGGCTCGAACCCAATGCTCTACCAACTGAGCCACTGTCGTTTAGAGGGGGACAAAGTAATAATGTAAATATATGGGACCGGTGCAGGGAATCGGTATAATGAGTGTGACCGACATGGTGTTTGACCGCAGCGCACACGCGTACACACAACTCATTTCAGTGTTTTCTACAATAAACAAGTTCAAAAATGGATCTACGCCTACGCGTTGTGTTTTTGAAAGCGGGCACCCAAAAGGATTGCTACACGAGAGCTTAGAAACCAACAAATGTTTTAAGAGGATACACTAAACTGAATATTACATTTTTTGTTTTTGTATTTACAAAACGTTGCAAGCATGAATTTGTCCTGTGTCACGCTTGTGCTTAGTTAAAAAATAGTATTAGCCAGATCAAAAACACGGATGGAGGATTGTTCAGATGACTTGACCTTATTAAATACAACTCTGTAGATCTGAGAACACTGAGCTTTGGGTGATCATAGACACTTTCACGAACACATGTGCACCAAACACTTGCACCAGTATCAGGGGTAACCGCAGACAGATGACCTTTACAGATGCTGATGCAGCGCTCTCCATCACATCTGTGCCAGAGCAGGGGTTGGTTGGCTAAAGGTCAGGAGGCGCGACTGGACCAAGGACTTATGAACAAACATCAGACTTGTTAACTTGGGCAAGACTAGGGTTGTGACAAAAATATTAGTAGCAGTTTTTTAACAGTACTGAATGACAATTTTGTTAGGTCAAGGTCACTGTTTTAATGAATATTCGTATCTTTTAGTCTATTTTAGGCATTCAGGTGATGCTTTGAAATCTCATTAGTGCTTATGTTTATGCAGTTCTGTGTTCACACATGCCGCAGAGAGTTGCGACTAATTACACAGGACTGGAATGAAGCCATTTAAAACCTGTTTTTAAAGGCCTGTCTTTTTATTTTTGTTTATTTGGTAGCAAAGCCTCTCTGCGTAAAATAAACCAAACCTAATTTGCAATTTCACTTTAGGGGTCTCAGAGCGAGCACTGCATTGCTTGAAAATAAATGCCATAATTTCATAAAGCACTCAGAGAGGTTAGAGGGAACTCACCTTTTTTCACTCAGGAATAAAAGCTATCATTTCATTCATCAAATTCCATGTTCGCAAAAAAAGAACCCTGCACTGATTTTAGTAGTTATGTCCCTTACATGAAATGAAGGCAGTTTCTAATTAACCACACAAATGACTTTGTTCAGAGAGAGAACAACAACATGACTTTCTGTCAATACTTTGATGCTGTAGGAAACTATGTAAAAAGTATGTATCCAAAATGACCTATACTTACACTGATTATCGTTTTTCTCCCAGATAGCATTTTTTTTATTTTTAAAGGGGGGACCAGTAAAATATATTGTGCTGTAAGTCCGTAAAACATGGAAGAATTACCCAAGTAAGCCAATTCAAAAAGAGTCTAGAGATTGTTAGTACATACAGGGATGCCTTGTTGGAAAGTGAGTTATGTGTTGCCCTGGTACGAGTGGTGCGCCGCCAACAGTTGCAGATTTATGCCGCAAGTCTTCTGAAGGACTTTCAATCCTTCCAGGGTTTTTCTTTTAGTCTATGAACAGTAAAATAGTTACTGCTTTTGTGTAGACAGTGTAAAAAAGTATGCAAAAGTTACCAGTAAGCAAGTAAGGCTCAAATGCTAAAACTGTGTGCGATGGTATGCATTCTTTTAAAAGGCTTTCATGACGTTGGATGGTAGACCATTTCTCTTTGTGTGTGTCTTGGTAAAAATGACATAGCACTTTTTCCCTGGCTGCACACCGAGATGCCCTCTGCAATTTCATCTGCGCGCTTGTACCATTTGTCAGTTGGCAAATCCCTTCAATATAGTCCACCTGGCCCCGCTTGCTCATCATTTTAGAGGAATTACACTGTCTGGAAGGCGCTGAGAATAAGAGGGGGATAGAAGGAGATTATAGAGAAGGTGTGAAGAAGTAACACAAAGAGCGAAGGGAAGGCGAACAGGGAAGATAAGAGAAAGATCCCAAATATCCCTTGCTCTGTTCTAGCCATTCATCGAGTGAAAGAGGCAAAGGGGATTTATCGAGGCCATAAATGGCGTCAGTGGGAGTCATTTACCCCAGACCTCCACAGCGTCGTCTTGTGATACTTTTTACGCCATGTGATTCTTCTGTTCAAGTTTGTGAGAACAAAAATTAAAGTAAAGCTGAGCGTTATCCATGGCTAATCTGAGCATGATTGTACAATAGCAACTCCAGTACAAGAACAAAGAAACCAAGTAGACCTTATACTGTAACTCAACATTTCTACACATAAAAGGTTCTTTATCAATGAATAAGGACTTTAGTCGTTCAATGTAGCGTGTTTCTGTTACCACCTACTAATCTATTGAGTTACTAAGTGCAGCACATGGCATGCGGAGGATGTATAAAAGGTACCTAGGAGTGAATGTTTTGTAGTTGAGGTGCGACAGAGCGACTTCTTAGGGGGCGAGAGTTCAGAAAAAAATATCCCCAAAACTCTTGAGCAACCAACCAGAGCTCATTGGAGTCAGACCAACAGCGAGGGTAAAAGAATGATCACCAGGAACAGTTCAACATATGAAAGGAACGGACCTCTATTCATATGTGACTGTAGCCTGTGACTCTTAGGCCTACATGTGTAGGTGTCGTTTATCTAAGGTAATTTATTGTATTAAAATGGGGGTAAGTGTGATTCATTTGTGTCTGCTATTAATTGCAATTATATTTTTTTTCCCAGATTTGCCATCATTTTATTTAATTTATCACTTCCTGGTACAAAAAAGCATCACACACAATGTAATGGGTAGAAAAATTGAGCATTGCTGCATAGTAATGAGCAAATAGGCGGAGTCACAATGTGAAGTAAAGAAAAGGAGCGGGAGCCATTTGTTGTCCAAGAGTGTAAAATGACAGTGGCAGAGGAGCCTGACAAATGGAGTGGTACTTAAAAGGAGTGGATTGGGACAGGAAGGAGAGAGCAGAAATAGGCAGGATGCTGTGACACTGTGCGACAAATATGTATTTATTCACTTGACGAATACTTTTATATATTCTCCCTAGAGATTTTTATTTCTTCAAGTTTGTAAGAAGCACAATAGCCTTGTAGAAATGCACCGTGGCCTGAGCAAAATACAGCTCCCACAGTCTCTCTTTGTACACCAACAGTCACAACATAAGAACATGCTACATTCTGCTGCTTTGTTCATTTTAAGAGGGTTGCGCTTGAATGTCCCACTACGCCTTTGACAAAAAATTTATTTTCCCAAATAATCTACTATAGTATAATAGAATAGACTGTATTAAGTAATGTGTGTAGTGACAAATGAAAATAGTGACTGTGGGGCCTGGGTTATGGACGGAGTACTGATTCTGTTTCCAAATATGTACATGTACATTACATCAAGGCAGTCTCACGGCCGTTCTTGAATTAAAGATATACATTTCACCCAAATATGGTGAAAACAATGCAATACTTATAATTGCATAGTTTTTTTTTTTTTTTTTAAAGACCCTTTTCTGATAAATGCATAGCTAAATGAATGCCAAGTATTTGAGGTGCAACAGTGGTTTTATTTAAAGAGATTGTGACGTTAAATGGTCTGTGCAAGGACTGGCACTGAAACTAAACCCGACTGAGCTCTGCAAATATCAGAGCCTCAGGAGTGCTCCTCTCCTCCTCTGAGCCGAGTACATGGGTCACCCGTCTGCAGCAAACCAGCGTGGCATGAATGAAAGCTGAATCAAAAGATTTACCGACACAGATGCAGAGTAACAAATACAAAGCTATAAACACATCACGGTGTTGTTAGCTCATATTGCCCACAAAGGCTGAAGGCTTCAAGCAATATTATTTTACAACATACTAATGTGACATGTTATGGCAGTACCATTTAGTGGATTTTTTGTGTTGAGTGTTGAAGAGAAGGGGAAAAGGGGAGCAGAAGCTTACTGTGAACGTCACATTAGAGCATGGGAGTCAATAGCCTCATTTCAAAGCCATTTTTCCCCAGATTAATATTCACATTTGTTCTAAACAATGAATGTAAAATGTAACGAGTAATTTGTCAAAAACATTTTGTAAATCAGTCTAAAATACCATCCTAACCTTAGGTCCAGTTTTAGTTCAATCCAAGTAAAACCAAGAAAATCTCAAAACTGATATTCACAAAAATAATTTTCTCCTTTTTTATAAAATTACCTTTTGTATTTTAAATATGTTGCAGAACAATATGCATGTGCGCATGGTAATAAAGTAGCTTTTCACAGAATAGAAAATATGTTATTGCAAAATAAATGATAATCGTGTGAAAATGGGTTCAGCCTTTCGACAATATCCCAAAGAAAGTAATTGGCCGCCTCATTACCTGCATTAGAGCATAGACAGAAAACTAGAACCTACCACTTGTCCATTCTGCGGGTTTTTGTGAGCGTAGGGAGGGCCTCTGATATGATTCCACATCTGACCAGATGTCATGGCAAAAACGACGCACTACAACAAGAATAAGCAAGAAATGTAGCACCAAATTAAGTGTATTAAGGGATTGTCATAGCCTGTTACCAGTGCAGCCATGGCCCATCCAGTTTTGTTGTAAATGAATTCCAGGTTGTTCCTCCTCAGATACAGCAGCCCTCCGACCAGAGAGACCAGAAGAGCCAGCGCAATCGTTCCCGAATAGTTAGGAGGGCGGAAAACACGGATCTATAATACAAAAGTCTCCTGAATTAGATCACAATACCTAGAAATGACAAATACATTTAAAACAAACATGAAATACAGTTTAGCAGCTCCATGTGTATTGTATGTGTAATGATTTTTCACAGAAAACTACATGCTCTTCTGCCCCAAAGAGTTTCCCAGTCGACTTTGACTTTGCTTTACAGTCTTTTTTGAATCATGCATTGGTGCTTTCTCCAGGTCTCTTTCTCTTGTTCGTCAAGTACAGTCACATCGAAATGGCTGAAAGCAAGCACTTAGTATAAGTGCTTCTTTTCCTTGCTTCTGAAAGGCAGCCGTTTGAATCCAGATCAATCAACAGGATGTCAGCAGATGCTTGGCCTTCCTCTCCTGCTCTGACATGTTTATCAGAGCAGAGAGGGAAATAGTAAAAACACATTTTCTATACAAAGAATTCACAATGATCACAATGAAGCGCTCATAATATGAATAATTGGGAATAAATATCAGGTAAAATAACAAAAATTTAAAGGACTAACTAATTGACTACCAGCCATTTTTGATGATTTCAATGATTTTCCAGGCCCACTGAATATTGTGTGCTATGACAATGAGAAATATTGTTTTGATCTCCTGTAATCCGTTGAAAAGAGGGTGTGACAAAAATCACCAGTCTTAGACATAAAGGAGAGAAATGAGGCGTTTGTGAAAACACCATGCAGAAAAGTGATTTTAACACTGTACAAAGTGTCGCACAGAGCGCTGCTGCCACAAGACTGATTTACAAGTCAATGGCAGTCAATGAGAGGGTTATCTGCCATTGACTCATTATAAAACACATAATGGGGTGGTATATAATTCACATGAAGTTAAAACGAAGGGTGTGTATCATCTCTACTCTTGCTCAATTTACGACATTTCAAAATGAAATATTCGCCTATATTCGATATGTTTATTTTCAAACCTCAAATTCAACGCACTATGAAATTTGATAAATAAAAAAAGATTGATCATTTCTTCCATCAGATCTAGAATATTTTTGTCTGAGAATTTCAGTCACTGGTTATCAAAATGTGCTTTAGTTTAAAAATAAAAAGTCACCTTCAAAATTCCAACAGTCTAAATACGACGAGAAAAAATACAATAGTGAAAAATGTTGCTAGACACATCTTTTCAGTTACAATACGATTTTTGCCCCTTGTGGGATAAATCCAGCAGTCTGAAGATTCACCACAAAGTGAAAGGTGGTGAAACAGCAAAATTCTCTCATTCACATATTTAGGAGTACCTGGACATCTGTGCGGTCAGCAATCCACTTGGCCAGCTGCTCTGAGGCAAACCCTATCCTCTGAAGGTCAAAGGTATCAGCCCTCTTTGGTTTTCCTTTGGCCGGGAAATGCATGAAGGTGGGTGCACTGTTCATGTTTAACTGCAATCAAAAACAATATCACAAACATCACAAACAGCATTACCCATTTTGCATGAAATGTCCCCCGCACACAGAAAGACAAACAAACGATTCTTAGCACGGGACTTTAAAACTAGGCTGATTATCCCATTATGCAAAATGTCTCTAATCTATCTTCTGCTCACTCTTTTCAGATTTCTCTTTCCTTGTTTCACAGATATCTAGCTGCACCTCCCAGAGCTCCCAGTAATTATCCTCAACAATAAGTCAACCGTTTTATGCTTTTCCCCAGACACTGACAGATAGGGGGGAAGAAAAAGTCAATAAGACATGAGCAATGACAAAACAGGCGTGCAGCATATCTATTCATTATGAGCTTGCATTTGCAGATGAGCTTTACTTTACCATTTTCATGTTATCATGGTTTCTCTAGAAATGACTGAACAAGACAACAGGGCCATTACGTAATCAATTAACAGCAAGTAATGTAGTTTTTCATTATAGTCTAATGTAGCAACCAAAGACATAATAAAAATGAACTGAGGAGTACAAACTGAACCTAATGTGTGAATGGGTATAATGTTGAGAAAAAGGTTTAGGGTTTAATGTAAACAAGGAATACATGGTGACTTGTTTATTGTACATAATATATCCTGCATTTAACATGTTTGAAAATTTCTTTCTTTTGCACAATCTTGAGTGAATCTATCCATGCCAGATGTGACATGTACATTTCTCCTGTGTGAGATCAATAAAGTTTATCTTATCTGTTTTGGCATCTTCCTTGGAGTTTTTGATCCTAAGAAATAGTATGTGGATTTTCAGACATGTTTACACATAACGCCGTTTTGATCGCAGTCACAATTAAAATTATGAGAAAGCTTGCATGAAAGAGTGAAGGGCACAAAAGGCTCACCTGCTGGAACACATCTGCTCCCTCGTCATAGTCCACCACAGTGAAGAAGAGTTTATTGGAAAAAGCAGACGAGTAACGCCACGAGTTGGCAAGCACCTGGTACTCCTCATTGGCCTGCCTGAAACCAGAACGGAAATGTTATTTCATTATTGATTGTCATCAAGAAAGTAAGTAGATTGAAGGAGAGGTGTGATAGGTTCTATAACACGTTGACAACAAAAGCAGAAACAAAAAGACGTGACTCAGGTAATGAAGTATTTGGACTAAACTTCACATGAACTTGATATCTATGCGTTGAAGTTTTCCAACACAATTCATTCAAAATAGTGGTGGTTCAATGCCTTGTCCTCTCGGTGAACTATTGCATATCTCCCACTGTACTAAAAACAGACTATTATCTGTTGGAGCCTTGAATCTCTGATTTGTGACAGTGGCAGCTGGTGTGACATTGTGCTTCTTGTCAACTGTCTCTTGCACAGCCTCTAATTACACAGGGCCAGGGTTATGAGAATGTCCTTCCATTGTTATATCTTACTGATAGACTGCCTTTGAAGTCCTGCCATTAGGAAAAGGGCATACAAAAAGCAGATAGATTACAGCGTTTTCAAACTAATATATATTTTAAGACATCAAGTCTCTGTTATCAAATAAGTTACAAATGTTGTTAGAATTCAACCCTCACCCATCCATCAGTTTTTGTGGCTAGACCCAGTGAAGACACGCTAACATTCTAAAATGGTTACTAATTCCAACAGGTTGCAATCACATGATAGCGGGAGAATAACAATGCATATTCATATTGATTGGGAATTTATTTTGCAGACAAACGCAGGGTCTGCCATTTTATTGGAAATCACCTTGCTTAAAAGACCCATCTGATGAGCATGCTCAAAAATACGAGCGCTACTATTCCATATCCAGGTGATTGTCAGAGGCAAACTCATCCAGCAAGCAATATTATCAAAGCAGCGGATGGGTGCCACCAGAATCAATACACCGGGCGACATGCTGATCCAAACAAGAACGTGTCAACATTCAGAGTGTGCAGACTGTTTGTTTAAATTGTTTTGCTTAATTTAGATTGCGTCTCAAATAGTCTGGTCCAACGCCTTTTCTCCTCGACATGCTGCCATTCGTCTGAGTGGGTTATGTCAACAGTAGAGTGTGCCATTAACAAGACATGATAATGCATCCAGTTTGTTCTCTTAAGTGCTGTACCGTGCTACACTAGTAGTACCTGGGCTTCCTCTGGTGGTACAGTCACACCTTCACAGTTCATTTATTCGACTGCAAATATTAGGGATCGCATTTGATAGTTTTGTTTGTGCATTTTGCCATCACAGTTACCCAGAAATATTTAACAGCCTCTACTAGAAATTGAAAAAAATATTTGTAATTCCAAAACATTGTGTAAACTTGGTCTGTGAAATGTGCTACATAAAAAAAGAAAAGTTACTTACTTCCCTCCTACTATTGTGCCATTATAGCTGAGCATTTGATTCAAGATTCCACTCATTGCCAATTGCCTTCACACATTTACAACATGCAGGTATGGAGATAATTGAATTCACAAGTGGTCAATAGAAAAATAAGTAAAGTTGTTAAGCTTTCACTTTACTTTCACTGTAACCTTGGTTTCTTGTTTTCAGCTCGACAGTTCCTTAGCAACAATCTTTGAGTAAATTGCAGAAAACAAACTTACATCGAAGGCATATTCATTTTTTATTTTTTGATTTATGATGCAAATTTTATACCCCGCTCCCTGCCTTTCAAAGGAGTAACCCAATATTACAGCACAGTGCGCCCTGTAAAGGGTGCATGCTGTGTTTTGAAAATATTTTATTTTGTTAAGTGTAGAACAAAAGCGTTTTACAAGACTGATGAGGTACGGAGCACCACAGTGATTAAGGCCCCACTTCAGTGTTCTTAGGGCTTACTTTAAGGTCAATGTGTTACATTTATCTTCATCTTTCGTTCTCCGCTGATGGGAGACTCTCACCAAAGATGTTAATGAGAAAAAACAGCATACAACAAACAGCACCTGAATACATTATGTTTAGACTTGGGAGTTAAAATTACATAATGCATAAGACAAGTGCATCGACATTTGAAGAGCAGAGCGAGATGCCGAGGGATGCTGACATATGTGATAAATAGAGGATCTAATGAGAGGCCTGATGAAGGAGACGAGTGAGTGATTAGAGTTTCAGGCCAGGTCACAGCACGCAACTTGATTACATGATCTACTGTAGCTAGACTTTCACACAGGGATATGGATCATTGGCTTTAATGCACAGTCTGCTGCGGGCCAACTCTTCAAACAGTGCACCCTTGATAATGGGAAAGCACCATGTGGAACTTCTAGAAGCATTACTATAACATTAGTGACATTTAATTTCAGAATGTTAAAAGTTAATGAAACTATATGCAGTCAATGGAAGACTTCCAAGGAACGTGGTATGGCAGAGCTCTCCATGGTGCTGAAATAAACGGCTAGAGAACAGTGTTGGTCGATTTATATAGAGATTCATTTTATCACTAAATTGAGGTTAATTTGACTCAAACAAAACAAAATATTTTTACTATTAGTGTCAAAAGGCTAAAAGAGGTTTCAGGTGGGTGAAAAGGCCCTCACATGCATTTTAATTACGTATTAAGAGAAAGAAAAGTGTAAAAAATAAAGTTCTATTTTACCCAAACCTTGATCTTCTGATTTTCTCAAAACCTGCAGTGCTTTTAAACACAATGTTTTGCAGTGTTCATCTTGCCTCTTTATAAGTTATTAGACACAAGCATGTACAGTACCTGCACACGGAGCATTGTCTTTGAGGCTGCAGAGCTGTGAACATCACAATGACCGAGTAGTTTCTGGGAGGGGCCTTCACAAAGCGGCGGAATTTGTCCCCATTCATCCGAATGACAGAGCGGCGGGAGGACCACTCCATCATCTGCTCTACCTTCTCCGACAGCAGATTCTGGACATAGACAGGAGACATACGCACAAAGTGACATAAAACATGTGCTTAAAACACCATCCAATAAACCACAAGAAATTAATTCAATTTCAAGCAGCGTTAGTAGTAGCCAAGTTAGCAATGCAGCTATAACTTATCAAAACAATGACTAATGAGAAAACAAGTGATGTTATTAACTAAACCTGAATTCATGTCAATAAATGGGGATGAATAAAATCTGTCAGGAAATTAAAAAAATAATGCCAGTGACTAATCATCATTATTATCATTGATCAAGAGAAAGTGTTGAATGACAAGTTGTCTGCCACAGGTATGAGAAACCCGAACACACATGGACCCAATGGGAAAACTCAATGCAATCCAGATTTCAGACAGGGTAAATAATTGGGCGTATCCAATTAAGGGGATTTTCTATGTACAGCACTTGAGCAGAACCTAAATACTGGTAAACGGACAATCCGACAGCAGCAACACCTCTGCTTTCTGTCTCATATTTTCAGCCAGTGAACGTTCAACTCAAAGGGGAGAGCTGTCAGTCCTAGATGCCAATCACAGACACACTAATGATGTACTTGGTTCTACCAACCGCTCACACAAAGACTTGGAGCTTAATAGTCAGTATAGCAAGTTTAAAAGATGGAAGGAAACTACCATTTACAGCATTTATGCATCTACAATACTACGACTGTGTGCCGGAAGCCTGCCTTAACACCTCCATAAAAGGCTTTAGAATGAATATGCAAGTCCTCACATCCGGGTATTTGTGTCTGAATAGACGTCATGCAGCTTTCACTTCGGCAGCAAGGAGTTTGGTCGGGCTAGGAGTACATGTCTTGAAAGGAAAATAGGAATTTATAAACGTTTTGTTCATCTGTCTAAAATGGAAGCTGGAGCATGGTTGTCATGGTGGGATTGCATCAACGGATACCAAAAGATGTCCCTCATTTTCATATCCAGAACTTGAGGGGTATGGTGTGGCATTGTCAAAGTTAGGACCGTAGGAATAGAGAAAGACTACAAAATATATATAGTTCTATGTTTGAATTTCGCATTACAAAACAGATGGAACAACTCCAAGCGTCGGACTCATGTGGTGATTAACACCTCACAAAAGGTCAAAAAGAGAGTGTCTGAGAACAGCAGGTCACTCAAGCAGTTATTTAAAAGTCTCTAGGCGCAAAACTGCTGCACAGCTCACCACCTGCCAATCACTACCCTTCACTTTGAATGAATCAGAAAATCTAATATATTTCAACCCGAGACATTGACCCGTCAGCCCTTACATAACTTTACAGAAATGGTTTACCCTGGCTAGCCCACACTTGATCAAAAATCACCCCACAGTCATCAACCAGCAGAGATGCTGTGAAGAGGCTTTTATCCTGTACTCCAGAACCTCAGTGACCCGAGGCCAGAGAGGCCCCTCTAGAAAAGTGGGGCACACTTGGAAGAAACATGTTTGCACTACATTAGGCCTTAAACTCAAAAGTGTTGTGTCGTCAAGTTAAGCTCCTGACCATGGGGAGATTATAACCGTTTCCTGTTTAATGGCATAGCGTTAATTTCTGATTTGTGCCCTTCAGTCCTTCCACTTGGGAACTGCCTTTAGTTTAATTTTCATACATATCCATGCAAGTATCCACTCTATGGAAGTGCTGAGCTTCAATTAGTCACTGATTCTCCATAAACCTATTTCTTTATGAATGCTTCTCAATAGGGATGTAAATCGTTGACCGTTTAACCGGTGGTTGACCGTCACAGCGTTAACCGGTCAAAGCTGTCGGTCAAAAAAGAGGAAAAGGTGAATTCTCTTCATAACGCTATTTTAAGCCCTATTCGCACGGTGTGACGAGCGGATCCGTATCTAGGTGTGTGCGCCAATCATGGATCTATTATAATAACTGGATAGGGTATTACTAGCTTGTAGCTGAATAACTCATGTGCTTGGAGGATTCTCGCGGTACTGCAGACTAAACCAGACTAAATTCACGTGGGCTACCCAGAAATGTTCCCCATAGGACTCAATGCATATTAAAACAGCTCAACCTCAGCTGACAGAGAACCTACAGCATTCATAAAGGTCGGATTTTGTGGGGATTTTAGTGTCCCTTGTCATCCTGGACTTTTTTTCTTCTTAAATCCTTCGGTTTTGTTTAAATCCACACTTTAGTGCCACAAACTCTGCTCGTCTGGCTCTCGCTCTAACTCCCGCTCTGATGAACTGCTCTGATTGGTCAGAGCGCAGCCGAGCCCCTCTGTGCACGTGCGTGAGACCCGGTGTGAGACCCACGCATTATGGGAGATCATCCACTGCGCAGAACCGGGAGGACCAGACGATGCCCAAATACAGGAGAGTTTCCCATAGATCTTTGAGAGTTCCAGGCGACTTCCGCTAATCTTTCAGCCCCCATGCCGTCACAAAGCGCCACTGAGCACAACCATTCATTTGAATAGGGCGCCATCTTGGATCGCCGGGGCTTGGCGCCAATGTATCAGTAAACTCCGGTCGTCACTCGCTGCTCTGACCATGTGGACGAGCCGTCTTTTGCTTAAAAATGCTTTAACCCGCAGCACAGCAGAATGGGAAGATTAAAACAGCAGTTCTCTGTGCGCAAAGGTGCCGAAGCTGTTGTGGGTTTTGGCGCCGCTGTCTCAGCTCTGATCCAGTAGAACGCAGAGCTGCACTTGTGGAAAATACGCGGCTCGAAATGGCTGTTATTTCAAAGAACGTGGACCATTTTAAACTACACAATTAACCGGTTTCAACCAGTTAATGAGGCTCGGTGGTCGGTCATGAAAATTCATAGTTTTTTTACATCCCTACTTCTCAATAAAAATAGGAACGGGAAAAGAATAGGGTTAAATCTTCAAAAATAGTACCCTTCTAGTCTAGGGTACTAGAAGGGTACAGACCCTAGCAGTTCCGCCATGCTCCACCAGAGGCGTTTCGCTGAACACAAGGGCTGGGATCGAGCGCATTGCAAACTCCTTTAGGAGATCAAAAAATAATCAGCCAATCAGGATCGCCTGCGTTACGTCGGATTTGCACCGCCTTCTCGTGCGTCTCTCAGCCAAATCAAACCAAGATGGCGGACATAAAGTGCGTGAATTTTTGTTAATATACAAACTTAATTAAGACACGGATGTCACTTTTAATGCAATTTGAGGCGAGATGTTGATGGTTCTATGTGTGTTTTAAGAGTAAAATGTTCGTGTACAGATTGGTTTAATGCTCCTGTCACACACAGCGGGAAACACACCCAGGTTTTTTGGTTTCCTGCATTCTTCTTTTCAAGCGATTTGTAGGTAATAAATAGACAAAGACAAAAAACAGAATATTGATAGCCCAAGTTGATTGCATAACGTTTTTAGCTAAAAAAAAAATCATTCTGGGTTTTTTTGGGGGGCACTCTTGCCGGCATTTGGCAACCGTGCAACGCTGTGATGAGTTGTGTTCTGAATTGTGTGCTTCAATCTGAGTGGTTGAAGGAACACATGAGTAACGTAACATGAGTAAAGAAAATACTTTATACATACTTGGTTTTCACCTCCAATGAACCAAGATGGCATTAAGCAGTGACCCTTCCAGACTTTACTCACTCAGCCGCAAGTGTTCCACTCCAGTCAGAAGTCATATAGTCAGACACTCATGTGCAATGTGTCATGTGTCCATTGGGAGGTCACCATAACAGTTACTGAAAGGTACAACTGTAGACTAATGTCCAATTAGGGCTTACTTCACATATAATTTATTTTTTAAAATTAGGCGCTTTGTCAACCTTTTAATTTACAGTTTCTCTTGTCCATTTGCATTCTCGCATGTCATCTTGAGCATATTTTTCTCAATTTATAAAGTCAAATAATGGTGGAACAGACAAAAGCAAAGTGCATTCTTCTGGTCTACTTTGCGTCTCCAACTTTTTTTTCTGGGTTGAGGAAAGTGGTGGCTGCATCAGCACTCTTCTCATGACAAGTGTTTTCAATAAGGCAGCATTATGACAGCCCCCTCTCCAGGACCGAGGACCAAAGTGGCACAAACACAAGTCCTCATCCCTCAGTTTTTCTGTCGCTGAAGCAAAAAAGTTCAATGTCCAAGTCCAATTGAACTTTGTGCTCTTATTCCTGTTTAAAAACTAAAGATCAGTGACGTAATCCTCAGCAGAAAGGGTTATCCAATGCTAGTTAGAGGCAAACTATAGTAAAAGACAAAGGTTTTTCTAACTGTTTAATTGCCAGGAGTTTTTCCAAGTAGGAACCAACCAAAAAAGTTTGGTTTCGACTGAAGTCGTAAGAATGCATCATCAGAAATGGCCAAAACCCCTATAACCCATGCCCAGACTAAAGTGTCTCATTCACTTCGTAATAGAGGTCATGCTAACACGAGACTTATTTATTTAAAATGTCAGTGCACTAATATTTTACAGGGTAACCCAGTAAACCATCTATCCAACCTTGGACGGATGGGTTACTGCCGTCATGCACAAATCAAGACTCAAAATAAACTTCCCTTACTTTGCCTCCTCCACTTATTGTATTTAGGTGTAAAGCGCAAATTGCAAAGGGTTAATGGGGAAGTGTCAAAGAGGTGGAATGACGAGTGAGAGAAGGAGATCTCTTTGCCACTCAGAAAATTAGTTATAGAAATGTGGGCTGGGGACTTAGTTGAGGGAGGAAAATGACTTACGAACACAGGCAATCAGTCACCGGGAAAGCAGGCCTGACATCATCGCATCAATAATTCAGATGACTACAGCTAATGAGCGAGATCCAAACAAATCACCCCTGAATTCACTTCAGAGAACATTGAAACATCTTACTACGCAAACCACGCCGCCCTTTATGGCTACTTTTAGCAGCAGTTTAAGAAATGGGGTGCTTTATATCAATCTGTGATGGAGCTCGGAAATATACTATGCACAGAGGAGAAAGGAGAATTACAGAAAGGCACTGCGATGGAACGTAGGAGCAAAGGCAACACAAATGCAAGGACACAAACAAAA